AGGCTGAAAAGACTCAGGGCCTGGAGGGCCCTGTTTTAGGCTGAAACGACACACGGCCTGTAGGCCCTTGTTTTCATGCTTTCAGGCTGAAACGACACAGGGCCTGTAGGCCCTTGTTTTCAGGCTGAAACGACACAGGGCCTGTAGGCCCTTGTTTTCAGGCTTCTAGGCTGAAAACGACACAGGGCCTGTAGGCCCTTGTTTTCAGGCTTTTAGGCTGAAAACAACACAGGGCCTGAAAATGGCCCTCGTTTCAGGCGCAGCATGTGACACTAGGCAACCATAGTAGGAATGTCGAATGAGTGATATGCGGCCTGAAGGGCTGCTAAGACACCCAAAAACAGATGCTTGCCGGTGATAAGCAACCGGACTGACGCCCCAGAGTAGAAGGGGCTGTGTTGTTTTGAGGGGAAAACAAAAAAACAAAACCTCCTATAGCATGTGAATACAGGACCGAAAAATGGGGGATACGTAGGCAGGTCAAGAAAACATCAGCATTGATCTATATTTGAAGTTTGAACAGCAAACATCAATGAATGAGGCACTTCTAACCTTAATAAGATAGAACTGTGTTTTAGGCTTTACGTGCTGAAAACGAAGAAATAAGTCCCTCCTAAGCTGCAACAAAGACAACTCAAACACAGGGACACCTTAAAGACATAACTCAAACCCCCACCCTGCCATAGATGGCAAGACCTTGAACACACAAATTAACCACCTCCTAAGCCCCTGTAAAGACTGTCAAATCATCACCACATGTTAAAGAGATAGGTCAAAACCTCCCCCACCATAAATACTATGTACCTTGAAGAGGAGTAGAGACTGGAGTAGACAGCAGAGTAAAGAACACAGTAGACAATAAACTAGAGAGAATAGAGTAGAGAGTACGGAACAGTAGGGAGAGAGTACAGCAGAGCAGAGAGTGGAGTAGAGAGAAGAGAGTAGAGAGTAGAGTACAGTAGAGGAGTCGAGTAGAGTAGAGGAGTCGAGTAGAGTAGAGTAGGGTGGAGTAGCATATAGAGCACAGCAGAGGAGAGCAGGAGAGCAGAGAATAAACGAGAGAATAAAGTAGAGAGTAGACTATAGTAGAGTATAGTAGAATAGAGCATAGTAGTAGAGTGGAGACGATAGTGTAGAGTACACTGGCGAAGAGAAGAGTAGAGAGTAGACCACAGTAGAGTAGGGTAGAGTAGAGTAGAGTAGAGTAGAGTAGAGTAGAGTAGAGTAGAGTAGAGCAGAGCAGAGCAGAGCAGAGCAGAGCAGAGTGCACAGCAGGGCAGAGCAGAGCAGAATAGTGTAGTAGTACAGAGAAGAGTAGAGCAGAGTACCATAAAGAGTAGGGAGTACAGTACAGTTCAGTACAGTACAGTACAGTACAGTACAGTGCCGTTCAGTACCACACAGTACAGTCCACTCCACTCCACTCTCATCTACTCCTCTCCTCTACTTTCCGCTCCCCTCGCCTCTTCTCCATTTGCCTCTCATCTGCCCTACTCTACTCTCCTCTCCACTCACTACTCAAATCTGCTCTCCACTCTACCCTTACTCTGGCCCACTGTACTCTACTCCAGTCTAGGGAGTAGAGTAGACTACAGTAGAGAACAGTACAGTACAGCGCCACTTCACTCCTCTTCTCCACTCCCCTTTCCTCCTCTCCATTCGCTTCTCATCCACCCTACTCTCCTCTACTCTTCTCCACGCTACTCTACTCTCTGCTTGCTACTCTGCTCTCCACTCTACTCTGACTTTGGTACACTGTACTCTACTCCAGTCTACTCTACTGTCCACAATACTCTACTCTCTACTCTATCCTACTCCTCTCTACTCCTCTCAAATCCTGTCTACTCTACTGCTCTCTACTCCACTCTACTCTTTGCTCCCTACTCTCCTGTCTGCTCTCTACTCTACACTCTGCTCTATTCTAACTCTGTAGACCAGAGTTAGAATAGAGCAGACAGGAGAGTAGAGAGTAGATGGTAGAGTATAGTAGACAGTACAGCACATTGGAGTGAAGTATAGTAGACCGAAGTTGAGTAGAGTAGACAGCAGAGAGTAGAGTAGCCTAAATTAGAGGAGAGTAAGGAAGTGAGAGGCGAGTGGAGAGGAGGAGAAGGGAGTGGAGTGGAGAAGGTGGAATGGAGTGGAGTGGAGTGGAGTGGAGTGGAGTGGAGTGAACGGAGGGGAATGGAGCGGAGGGGAGTGGCGTGGACGGGAGAGGGGAAGGGAGGAGAGGAGGGGAGGAGAGGCAAGGAGAGGGGAGGGGACCAGGCAGGAGGAGAGCTGAGGGGAGGGGGGCGGAGTGGACAGGAGAATAGTGGAGTAGAGTAGAGTACCGCCAAATTGAAGGCTTGGCCTACCAGAGTCAAAGGGGGTACGTGAAATTCTGAAGAGCCCAAAGTTGTCTATTTTTAATTCAAATTTCAGTTGAACAAAAAGTCAGGGATATAGATCATAGTTGTGGTGCACCTCGGTGCACGGATTTGTGCTCACGTTGCACACCGCACTGGAAAAATTAAGGTCTGACAAAAAAAAAAAACAAGTAGGTGTTTCGTAATTTCTTAGGACCCCCGGCTAGGCAAAAATGTTCAACTCGCCATGCGGGTTCGGAAACTGGCCGTGCCCATGGCCCAAGAAGACATTTTGGGCAAGGGATGCCAAACTTTG